ATTTGAAAGAAGAGAAATCATGTCATCTAACCTGACTGCACCACTAAGGCCCAAGGGGATCGCATACACCAGTGAAGAAATGTTTTGGCTATGAAAATGAAATAAATTAACCATATATAAATCAAAATTAATTTAAATCGCAATAAAATTTAAGAAAAAAAATACCTTATTGACATTAATGACGTTTGGAGCGCTGGATTTGTAAGAAGTCCAGCAAGTATCAACAACAACTCGAATTGCCAGTTTTGAAAGCTACAAATATATGTCATGTAAGAAGCATGCATAAGGATTGAGCACCAATGATCGATATTCAAAGAAGTAATGCATCAGTTACTAACCAAACCATCAAAGTAGAAGGAATGCCGAGTTTAAGAAAGTCCCATAAGCCATGAAAGGCTTCTCTAGAGAATCCAGTCCATGTTGACTTGCAAGAGGGAGATAGAAAGACATATAGTACTAATAGCAGCAAATTGAACCAATAAGAGATTGAAACAGAAAGCGCAGCTCCTCGATAACCAAGTCCAGTTTTATAGGTAAAGAACCAACAATTGATGACGTGAAAAATAGCTGTGATTCCACTGCTAAACATTATGGGTAGCACGATTTTTTGAGCTTGTAAGAACTTGAGGATGCACTGTATAAGGCCAAATGCGAATAGTGATGGAATCATCAACCGAGCATAAGATTCTGCTGCCATTGATATCTCCGGGACTTGGCGGAGCAAAATAAGAATTCTGCCAGAGAAAGCCGTTCCAAAGGCAAGTGGAATGCTGATAAGGACACAAATGACCATTGCTCTTTGTAGATATAAACCTACCATCTTGTAATTTTGTGCTCCAAAAGATTGTCCACATAAGGTATCTAGCGCAGAACTTGCTCCCATCTACTTAATCATTGGACAGGAGAAAGAAGAAACATAAATGATCTTACATCACTAACTCAAATAAGGAAAATAAATAAAGGAGAAGCACATACGAGCACTGAGAAGCCAAGTGAATTCACGAAGGAAATGGCTATGGAGGCTCCGGCGAGCTTTTCGTGACTTATATGACCAACCAACATTATTGATACGAATTGGAGGGCAAACATAAGGAAATTCGCAACTGTAAGTGGCATTGCAAGACACATCTGCCTCTTTATCTCTTTCATCATTCCCTTCTTTTTCTCCATGGATATCTGAGCTATTTCTCTATCCGTTTCTTCTCCCTCTCTCACATTATACCCGCCTTGCACCTTTATATAGCTAAGAAACTTTACAATGGCAAATCTAATGACAGGCTATAAGACAATGGACGTGAAATTTTTATCATTAGTTGAATGGCATCTACTGTTTTTTCCTATTAATTATATTAGTCTGTAGGCTGCCGTTTTATGAAATTAAATATTTAAATCATTAACTGCAGAAAGATGGGAACATCAAGTTTAAATCATTAATTTTATCAAATTTAAATTAGCAATTTCCTGATAACTTTCCCGACAGAGTTTTGTGCACGGCCTGTTATTGAAAACTAATATTTGGTCGGAGACAGCTTTGTTATAGTTTCCTAAAATTATAATGGAGAAAGTATTTATTTTTTTTTAAGTTATAAAAAACAGCTTTCTAGTAATTTTTTTTTTAAAGACAGCAAAAAGTAGTTGGCAGATAAAAATTGTGATTTACGCCTAAAAAGCAAAGTAGTAAGGAAATATCCCAAACGAAATCTAAATAATCATTGACGTTTATGTCCGTCTAACTTCATCACACTAAATATGTTAGGAGTTTACATACATATCATAGAATTGGTATATAATTAGATATCTAACATTTAAAATTTTACATTTGCTATTATAATTTCTAGTTATTTAAATCATATTAAAACATATACATTAAATAATACATTTTTTTAAATAATAATAATAATGATATTTTATTTTACACTCATCTGAAAACTTCATAACATTTTAAATACATTGTATTCCTGCTACATAACATTTCTTTTTTAGCCAACAAACGTTTAGGGGCAATCAAAACTCAGTGGCATGTTAACAGTCGAAATTAGGCATTTTTTCGTTAGTGCAACAAAGATTATGTCACCAACCTTTCAAATTTATCATTATAACCATATCAGTCTTTGTTAGTCTTTAATTGACATTGTAATATTTGAAGAAAATGAAATTTTCCTTTACCATCATTAGCAATCCAAAATTTTTCTTTTGTTATAGTTCAATCATCAAAATGCATGCCAAGTTTAACCTTTTCTAAATAACCTCCCTTTCAAGGGGTTAGACGATTACTTTACTCCATTTAGACGATCTCTCACTAGAGTTTTGATTGATAGGGTTCATCATATTACAGTAAATTCGAACAAATATATAATCATAATTATTACTAAATATGAGACTACATACTCAACATAATAATTAAGTTTCCCCCAAGCTATGGAGTAAAGTAAGAAAATGTCTCAATCATTTTGAATTGTGTTAGTGAAAAAATGCCAAATTGGTGTCTAAATGGGGCTTCTCCTTATTAAGAAAAATAAATAAGTAAATTCAATATTAAAGTAAGAAAATGTCTCCATCATTATGACTTGTATTAGTAAAAAAATGCCAAATTGGTGTCTAAATGGGGCTTCTCCTTATTAAAATAAATAAATAAATAAATTCAATATTATAATTGAAATTTGTATTACTGAATCACCTTCAAGCTAAATATTGAGTTGTCTTCTGTTGGATAGAAAATCAATATTGTCTAACAAAAATCTGCAAACTAATAAATTTAAATTTTGACTATACTAAAGGTCTGTTTTGGATAGATGAAAAGTTTTATAAAGTTAGTTATGAACTTATTATGAAAAAAATTAATGATTTAGCTACTCTTGCTGTAAAAAGAAGCTTTCTACAGCTAAATTTATAGAGAGAGTATTTTATCCAAGTTTTGTACAAAGATCTAATACAAACAAAAATAAAAGAGAAATTTTACATGAAAAGTTTGAAAAGGGAGAAGACAATAACCTAGCTCGGTTAAAGTAATCTAGTATATACTTAATGTTATAGAAGCCTGCTCCTCTCCACTATGATAATATGATATTATAATATTATGACTATTTGGTTGTTCTCATGTAGCTGTAGTACAGATTCTTGGAGAGTTAAGAGATCATACAGGTTGTTAGATGATACCATTCATAAAACTATTATTAAATAATGTTGGTCATATATTAGCGGTGCTGATCATATATGGAGTATGCGATCAAACAGTATTATTCAGATAATGATGATCGACTCATATTGAGTCCTTTGATCATAGATCATTCGTCATTTAATTTCATTAATGAGAACAAAGTTATATGATATTGGGCTCTTGGAATTTTCCTTATCAAGCCACTCAATATAATTATAAACATATGAAATTTATAGACTATTTTGGTCCTTTAATTAAAATACCGAATTTTTCAAACATACATCATACACTTAATTTGGGCTCATTTGAACTCATATCATATCATCTTTTTGTGCTTAATTTAGGGCTCATTTTAACTCAGATCAGGTCAGATCATCTTTGATTTTGTTAGATTCATCTTGTCCATATATTAAATTTGAATGTAATTTTATAAATATTTGATTTTTAATGATTCTAAATTTAATTTTATTTTTTTTAAATACAATAATTCATCAAATTCCATGCCCATCAAAAAAAAAAATTCTATAAGCATATCAAATTTTAGAAGACCCAATACTCCATAACTAAGCGCGTAAATTAAATTGAAAATATGACACTTCCTTTTTGACTTTTTCTTTGTATTTCTTTAGTTTGTTGTTTCTCTTTTCTCTTACACATGTAATCAGTTACATTGATGTCACTATTATTTTTTTCTATGATAAATAGAAAGGGCAAAGCCCCAATTTTTTCCCAAAAAATAAAAATATTACACTTCCACAAGAGATACACACCATGGATAAACTGATTCCATTTATTTAATAATGATGTGAACAGTTATGTCAAACACAATATATGCCAATCTTTCAAGGTATTCTAAATATTATATATTTAGAGAGAGAGAGAGAGAAAAAGAATATAATGGAGATAGAAAGAGAGAGAAGGGTTGGGGAGAAGAAAAAAACAATAAGTTTTTAATATCAATGGAAAAGGAATGCCTGGATGAAGGCATATTTGCTATCCAATTGTTGGGCTCTGATTAGGTAGTGCTAAAATAAGCGTTTTACTAACACTTCTTAAATTTCGTTTGGAGTGGCTTTCTTAATGCTTTCTAAAATATTTTTTTATTATAAAAATTTAAAGTTCAAATTTTTTTTCTTTTAAAAATTAAGTTGTTATCGAAGCCTGCTCTTTTCTCTTACACATGTAATCAGTTTCATTGATGTTACTATTATTTTTTTCTATGCAGAGCCCCAATTTTTTCCCAAAAGACAAAAATATGACACTTCCACAAGAGATACACACCAGGGATAAACTGATTTCATTTATTTAATAATGATGTCAACAGGTATGTCAAACACAATATATGCCAATCTTTCAAGGTTTTCTAAATATTATATATTTAGAGAGAGAGAGAGAGAGAGAGAGAGAGAGAGAGAGAATATAATGGAGATAGAAAGAGAGAAGGGTTGGGGAGAGGAAAACAACAATAAGTTTTTAATATCAATGGAAAAGAAATGCCTGGATGAAGGCATATTTGCTATCCAATTGTTGGGCTCTGATTTCTAAGATGTTTCAGCTGTTTCCAAAGCCTTCATAACCTGTTATTTAAAAAAAAAAAAGGTAAAATGCAAGAATTCTTCTTAGAATATAAACATAACTATTAGGTAGTGTTAAAATAAGCGTTTTACTAACACTTCTTAAACTTTGTTTGGAGTGGCTTTCTTAATGCTTTCTAAAATATTTTTCTATTATAAAAATTTATAGTTCAAAAGTTTTTTTCTTTTAATTATTAAGTTGCTTTAGAAAATAGTAAAAAATTCATCCCAAATAAAACTTACATTATTTTTAAAATTATCTTAGGTTTTCTTTGGGATAGTTCTTTTACTGTTATATAAATCCTCTTTTTAGTTCAAAATTTTCAAATGTTCCACAAACATTATTGATATCTTTATCTCCTTCATCATTCCCTCCCTTTTCTCCATGAATATCTGAGCTATTTCTCTCACATTATCCCCGCCTTGCCACCTTTATATATAAAATAAGAAGCCTTACAATGGCAAATCTAAAGAAAGGCTATAAGACAAGTGGTTGAGTTCCGGCTGGACGGGAAATATTTATCATTAGTTGAATGGCAGCTACTGTTTTGCCTATTATATTAGTCGGTAGGCTGCCGTTTTGTGAAACTAAACATTTAAATCATTAATAACAGAGATGGAAACATCAAGTTTAAATCATTATTTTTTTTTTTTCAAATTTAAATTACTAATTTATAAAGGAAAACAAATGGCAATAAATTTCTTGATAACTTATTCAAAACTAATATTTAGTCGGGGACAAATTTGTAATAGTTTTCTAATTTTTTTTTTAAGTGATAGTTTTGTTAAATTGTTAAAAGTGTAAATTTTTAAAACAGATATAGAAAATAGCTTTTTAGTAAAATATTTTTTTAAAGACAACAAAAAAGTGATAGACAAATAAAAATTGTAATTGACGCCTAAAAAGTAAACCAATAAAAAAATATCCCAAACGAAGCCTAAATAATCATTGATGTCTATGTCCATCTTACTTTATCACACTAGATATGTTAGGAGTTTACATACATACGCAGAATTGGTATATAATTAGATATCTTACAGTTAAAAAAGTTACTTTTGCTACTATAATTTTAGTTATTTCAATAATATTAAAGCATATACATTATATAATTTATTATTCTTAAAAAAATAATAATAATGATATTTTATTTTACACTCATCTAAAAACTTCACAGCATTTTAAATACACTGTATTCCTTCCACACAACATTTCTTTTTTAGCCAACATGCATTTAGGCGCAATTTAGTTGGATTTCAACTGAGTGTAAAGTAATACAAAAGTAGGAATTTTGATGAATTTAGTATTTGGTTGAATAAAAAATGAATGTAAAGTAAAGTAAATGTAGTTCATTTTCTAGGTAAATCAAACTCATTCAGTTTTGAGCGAAAATAATTTACACCATAAGCAAGCTCGCTTGATGGCCATCAACTGCAGCCAG